CACAAGCATACACTTTGCTGTCTGTTTGTGAACTCAGTAACAGATGCATAGTACCAATCACTGAAAGAAGTGACAAGATTGGTCACTGATCATGATGTGCATCTGTCACTTTTGTAGTGACCTGTGGACTAAAGAGCTAGCAGCAAAGTTTGTACTTTATGCAACTTCTCAGTGAATACATTGGTAGCTAAAATTTAAACCGTGTTGTTGGCAGACTAGTGTTATTTAAATTGCAGTAACGGAAATTTGTGCGTATCAGAACTATGCAGAGTGAGACCTTATTAAAGATTATGTTGAGTTTAATTATTGTCACAGTTGTTATTAAAGATAGAAAGACAGACCTCGGGGGCTTCCCTGGTGGTGCAGTGGTTAAGAATCCACCTGCCAGTGCAGGGGACACGGGTTCAAGCCCTGATCCGGGAAGATCCCACATGCCGCGGAGCAGCTAAGCCTGTGCGCCACAACTACTGAGTCTGCACTCTAGAGCCTGTGAGCCACAATGACTGAAGCCTGGTCGCCTAGAGCCCGTGCTCCGCAACAAGAAAAGCCACCGCAATGAGAAGCCAGTGAACCTCAACAAAGAGTAGCCCCTGCTCGCCACAACTAGGGAAAGCCGCGTGCAGCAACAAAGACCCAACGCAGCCAAAAAATAAACAAATAAGAGAGAAGGCCCGCGTACCGCAAAAAACAAACAAACAAACAAAAAAACACTGTTGTATCTTGAAATCCTTGAAAAAATGAAGTGATTTTGATTCTAAGGTGACTATCAATGAAGAATAAAGAGGAAGGGAGCTCTGCATCGGATGGGAAACTAACCGGGCACCCCTTCTATTCTCACTGTGCTATTAATACTGCTATTAATAATTAGTATTTTCCTGTTACATGTGAAGTAGTTAATAGGCAATGATGCAGGTGTTGAACAAATGTTTCCTGAGGAAAATCATAATGATTGTAGTGGCCAGAACTCTTCCACCTGTAAGTGGATGAAACAAGCTCAGAATAGTCTGGGCATAAAATAAGAAATTCAATGGCAGGGGTAATGTCATTTCAGGCTCAAACAATAGGGTCAGAATCTTTCTCCATCTCTTGGATCAATTTTCTCCGAGCTGGCTTCAATCTCAGGCAGACTCTTACCATGTAGAAGCCCAGACCACCTCTGTCAGCTTCATACTTCATTCCCTATAGAAATTTCAACGGGGCTTCCCTGGTGGTGCAGTGATTAAGAATCCGCCTGCCAATGCAGGGGACACGGGTTCGATCCCTGGTTCGGGAGGATCCCACATGCCGTGGAGAAACTAAACCCGTGCGCCACGACTACTGAGCCCGTGCTCTAGAGCCCGCGAGCCACAACTACTGAGCCCGCGTGCCTAGAGCCAGTGCTCCGCAACAAGAGAAGCCACCGCAGTGAAAAGCCTGTGCACCGCAATGAAGAGTAGCCCCCGCTTGCCGCAACTAGAGAAAGCCGCTCGCAGCAACGAAGACCCAACACAGTCAAAAATAATAAATAAATAAAATTTTTAAAAAAAAGAAATTTCAATGGACAGAGAACTCCTTTTACTCAAAAGTCTTACAGTTGACTTGGACTAACCTGGCTTCAAACACAGCCCATTGTTTACCCAATTACTGTGGGCTTTGGCCAGGCTTGGGTCACATGAACTGAGAATAGGGCAGGGGTGGTTTCCACAAGGAAAAGAAACTTCTGATGTAAGGATGCTGTGAAGTTAAAAATAATAAATGGCCACTACAGTGACAACAATGAATGTGGTAGATTTTTTTAATGGCAACTTCAGTGGAATTCGGGACCTATTCTGTATCTCAAAATAGGAAATAGAAATACTGTTTTATCTAAAAATCCATGAGAATACGAAGTGAATTTGATTCTACGACTTAATCTAAAATCCTAATACTCAGGCAAATAATAATTTTAACATGTCTGTCTTTTCACCAATTCCCTCTTTTTTTCTTAAGATGCCTCTGTTCACAGACAGCCTCATCACACAAAGTAATAGCAAACGAAGAGAAAAGCATAAAATGTTTACTGAAGTGGATGAAGTCACGGCATGTAAAGAAAAATTATTCATTAATAGCTGAAAAAATCCTTCTCTATATTTAATATTTAGGTGACATATTTCCATTTCAAGTGAAGTAGACACTATAGTCATGAACAGCAAACAGAAACACAAACTCCATTTATTTGTAAAATAAACTTATTTTCTTTTCATATCAATGCAAAAAATGACCCGATGCCATATGTTCCATCTGCCATGATGCTAAGACAGCAAAGCTATACAATTTCTAGATCATTAACTTGTCTTCCTATTTTTCCATGTCTTACGGTTCTGCTAGGTAAGTGTTCGTTCATTCACTTTGATAATGCTACCTTTTATAGGTTTGGTATTTCATTTGCTCAATTACTCCATGCAAAACTGCAGCAGCCAGTGAGTGCGTGTGTGGGAAAGAAAAGGACCCACCCCACAGTTTCTCTAAAAGAACAAGAACTCAAGACTACACTTCCAATGGTTTCAAACAAAAGGGGGTTTTGTCTTTTGCTAATCTCAAGTTTGAAAAAGGCATCTATACCCCCTCATTTTATATCATTGGAGCCAGGCTGAATGCCACAATATTCAGGACAGCACAATGGTACAATATAGCAGCATGTCAGCTCTGTAAGTAGTGGGTGGCAAGATGGGGAAGAGGAAAGCGTCCCTATAGTCACATGGGAATCATGGAAGGGTAATGGAAGGGAACAGGAGCAATCATGGGTCCATAGGTTATCTGCATAAACTCAGAGAAGTAGAATTCTGCAAATAAATCCCAAAATTAGACCTGAAAAATATAATTCAGGGTCATTGCAATGATACGAGAGAGAGATCCTGAGGTTAAAGCAGCTGTGTATCATCCCTGAGTTTTCCATTTTTATTACATTGCTTAGCTATCCACAGAGTTTTCTTTGGGCCAGTTTAATCTATTCAAAATGGCTGCATGAGACTGAGACCATTATGAAAAAACTGTGCTCAACTTCTGAGACAAGCTGTAGAATTCACACTAAATAGCCCAGTCTATGTGACTTAGAATATAAAGTCATCAGTAGATGCTTACCCAAGAAATCAAACAGGAACTAGTATACAAGCTGCACACGAAACATGTTAAGAGGATGAAGGAGCAAAGTAGTAACAAGAGGTTTAAGAGAACGCAGCAACTCATGACAGGTGCATGCTTACACAATTAAATTTACTACTTCTTTTTTGGAGATAAACTCAGGAGTTTATAAAATGAACAGACATAATAATAACTACAAAAACGCCATCATGATTTATTGAGCATGAATAAATCATTTAAAAAATCCAGCATTGGGGGACCTCATTGAATTCTTTCTATAAGTAGGCACTAATAGCATCTCCAGTTTATAGAAGAAAGTGGATCTCTGAGAATTCTGTGTAATTTCTTTAAAATCACACAACTAGCAAAGGCAGAGCGAGGATTTTAACTCTGCCAGTCTGATTCCCAATTCTGTGCTTCTAACCACCAGTGTTTTTTTCTTAAGCACTTTGCATGAACTCACTCATTCAAGTCTCATAACAATCCCAATAAAGTGGAAATTATTATTTCTGTTTTTCTAATGAGAAAATCAAGACGATAAATCATTTGTTCTAGGTCACACGGCTGGCCAGTGGCAGAGCCACCACTGGAACTCATGTCTGTCTGACATTAGAGCTCACTTTCATAGATAATGTCACAGGCTGCTACTTGCCCATCAAAATCTATTCTCCTCTTCTTCCTGGGTATGAGTCTGCTTAGCCAAAAACTACACTTCTGCGCTTCCTTTGCAGTTATGTATGACCATTTGACTAAGTGCTTACCAAAGGAACATGAGTGGAAGTGATGTGTGCAACTTCTGAGTCAAAAGGAACTCCGTGGTCACAGACCTTCTCTTTCTCTTTCTCATGAACTGGACCTCAGAATAGCAGGGGCAAAGCTTCAATCATACAGACAAGGACTATATCCTAAGGGATGACAAAGTGCAAAAGTTGGAGGAGGGACTTCCCTGGCAGTCCAGTGGTTAAGACTTCGCCTTCCAATGCAGGGGGTGCAGGTTGGATCCCTGGTCAGGGAGCTAAGGTCCCACATGCGTCGAGGCCAAAAAGCCAAAACATAAAACAGAAGCAATATTGTAACAAATTCAATAAAAGACTTTAAAAGTGGTCCACACCTAGAGAGTGCCATACTGAGTGAAGTAAGTCAGACACAGAGAGAGAAATATCGTATGATATCGCTTATAGGCAGAATCTAAAAAGAAATGATACAAATGAACATATTTACAAAACAGAAACAGACTCACAGACTTAGAGAATGAACTTATGGTTACCGGAGTGGGGTGGTGTGTGTGCAGGGAGGCTGGAGGGAGGGATAGTTAGGGAGTCTGGGATTGACATATACACACTGCTATAATTTAAAAGGATAACCAACAAGGACCTACTGTGTAGCACAGGGAACTCTGCTCAATGTTACGTGGCAGCCTGGATGGGAGGGGAGTCTGGGGGAGAATGGATACATGTATATGTATGGCTGAGTCGCTTTGCTATGCACCTGAAACTATCACAACATTGTTAATCGGATATACTCCAATATAAAATAAAAAGTTAAAATAAAATGGATAATTTGTGGTTAAAAAAAAAAGTGGTCCACGTCAAAAAAAAAAAAAAAAAAGAGGCTTTCAGAAAACAAAAAAGTTGGAGGAGCCCAATTTCCTGAATGACTGTATAAAGCAGAGCTGCCCCATATATCTGGACCACCTTGGAACCGTTATATGAGAGAGAAACAAATTTCTACATTGCTAAACCACTGTACTTTTAGAGTGTCTTGTTACAGCAGCTTAGCTGAACTCTAGTACAGCCAGCAAGTACTATCACACAAGCAAGGAAAAGATGCCACAGACTTAGATAAGAAGGCAGGCATGAGGGTGTGAGGGAATCAGTGAGACTAATATTCGAATTACTTACCCTTTCTACGAAATCTCCATTGTAGAATATTCTCCATTCCTAAAGACAAAAAAAAAGTATTCTGAACAAAAGATACCTGTAAAACATCATCTAATGAAAAAAGCAAAACAAGACAAAAACAACAACCTGGAATGTAACAGCAAGTACTGGGAAAGTGGTGAGATTTTCATTTCTTGTTTTTACACTGCATTATGACACTTCAGCTGACTAAGAATCTTTTTGAAATGATATCTAAATTGGCTCTCTGTAGAATTCATTAGAACAACCAAGCTAGAATCCATTAGAACGTAAGAAAACAAAATCCCCTTTAAAACAGGTGTACTGAAATGAGCCCAAATCATAATACTGTAACATACTAAGTCAGTATATCTGGACATCACTTCAATTATCTTCATTTCATCTCTACACTGTGTGTTGCCTCTCTTGGACGTGTTGTTCTGGGTCATACAATGCAACCTCCTTTGTCATCTCTTTGAAAGATATCAGGAAATACTGTAGGGGCCAATCTTCAATTATACACCCACCCCCTGAGTCTGTGGTTACCCAAAGAACCCATGGGATCTTCCAACTGAATCTGAGAAACCTTAAGTTTTAATTTTTTAAAGTAAAAAAAAAAGCATTCCTGTGGAAAGTAGTTTTCATATATTTAAAGATCCACTAAAATGATCATAACGTTTAACTCCACATCTGGGTGCTTATTTTAAAGAAATGATAAAAAGTGTTATATTTGTGAAGATGTTCACTGAAGCATATTTTCAAAAGGGGAGAAAACTGTAAACCAAATATAAAACAGCAGTGAAAAAATAGTTAAATAAATGATGGTTCATCCCTAGGGGAAACACAAGGCTGATATTTAAAAACAAATCCAGGGCTTCCCTGGTGGCGCAGTGGTTGAGAATCTGCCGGCTAATGCAGGGGACACGGGTTCGAGCCCTGGTCTGGGAGGATCCCATATGCCGCAGAGCAACTAGGCCCGTGAGCCACAACTACTGAGCCTGTGCGTCTGGAGCCTGTGCTCTGCAACAAGAGAGGCCGCGATAGTGAGAGGCCCGCACACAGCAAAAATAAATTAATTAATTAATAAACTCCTACCCCCAATATCTAAAAAAAAAAAAAAAAACTATTAAAAACAAATCCAAAGCAAAGGTACTGAGAAATAAATCAAACCTTTCCCGTTATCTTTCAAAGAGATAACAAACATTTGCTTTGGATGATCCAGAACAACATGTCCAAAGGAGGCAACATACAGTGTAGGGATTACAGATTCTGCAAGTTAAATGACATCATGGAGAAGCAAACAGACAAATTCAAATTGGGTACTTTTACCGGGCAGTTGACCAGGTTTTTCAACAAGTTAATGGCATTTTTAAAAAAGTGAGTCTGTTGTAGATTAAAATAATGTTGAGATGTAACAACCATTGCAATGTATAGATCATTATTTGTATCCTGGTGTGTATGAATCAAGATTAAAGAAAGACATTTTTGAAATAATGAGGGAAATCTGAATATGACTGGATTATATGTAATATCAAGGAATTACTGCTAATTTTGTTAGGTATCATAATGGTACTATAGTTGCATAAGAAAATATGTAGAAAATATTTTCTAGAAATGCATAACGAAGTATGTAGGGGTGAAAAGACATAAGGACTGGAACTTGCTTTAAAATACTTCAGTCACAATAACAGCCATAACAACAAAACACAAAACACACAAGAGTACAAGTTCTGCAGTAGCCTGCCTGAGTAGGTCCAATTTGTATCCAACACTTACTACTTATATGACCTAAGGCAAGTAACTTAACTTCCCAATGCCTTGGGTTCCTCTTCTGTTTACTAGTGATACCAGTCACGTCTCTTGTCTTAGGTTATTGTGAAGATCATATGAGATGAGCTCCGTAAAGACCTCAGCACGACATGTTAGCTATTATTATCATCATTATTAACCAGTATGCTCTTCACTCATCTAGGACCCCAAACCCCACTCACCAAAAACACTTAATCCCTTGAAATCTCTCCTCTGTCTTTCTCTCCAGGTCTTGGCTCCTTCTTATTCCCTCCCTCCCTAGCCTGTTTCCTTCTTCAGGATATAGAGCCTCTGCTTTTTTTTTTTTTTTTTTGCGGCATGCGGGCCTCTCACTGTTGTGGCCTCTCCCATTGCGGAGCACAGGCTCCGGATGTGCAGGCTCAGCGGCCATGGCTCACGGGCCCAGCCGCTCCGCGGCATAGGGGATTTTCCCGGACCGGGGCACGAACCCGCGTCCCCTGCATCGGCAGGCAGACTCTCAACCACTGCGCCACCAGGGAAGCCCGAGCCTCTGCTTTAATTGTTAACAATGAACTAACATTTAATTAATTTTTAAAGTGATTTTCTTTTTAAAAACTAAATTAGGAAAACTATGGAACAACATGGAAATCAAGAGAATACAAAATTAACTGGTAAAATTACACCCAGATATAAACATGGAAAAGGATCAAAGGAAAAGTAGAATGTATAAATGTAGACGTTCTAGTAAATCACTTATACCTAGGGATTTCTGTCATTAGGTTTAAGCAAGAAATTTTTTTAAAAAAATGCAAACTCCACAGAGACTCCACCTAAGAGACCCTAAGAACAACTGAATAATATGTGTGTGTGTGTGTGTGTGTGTGTGTTTCGATGGAGGCATGTTTGGCTGTTATTGGCAAATCTAGAGTACAAAGAGGAAGTGGAAGACATGAAATAATAAGAGCAATGGTAATACTTCTGATCTCATTGATTCCATGGAGTCATGGGTGTGTGATCTGTGCAGTCACACAGCGTCTTGTGCTGAGAAGCGCCCCGTACTTGGTTTAATACCCTATCACCATTTTGAAATTCTTAATAAGTTTTAAACAAGGGGCCCCACAAATTATGTAACCAGTCCTGACTCCACCTTATGAGATTGGCACTATTATAATTCCAAGTTAAAGATGAGAAAGCTGAGGCTTGAAGATGTTAAAGGACCTACCTAAAGTCAAACAGCCAGGAAGTGATAGGATTTGAACACAAGCTCTCTCCACATGAGAATATGGAAAGAACTCAGAGAGAAAGATAGAGAATGGGATAAAGGAGAACAAAAAGAAAGCCAAGTAAGCCAGGAAACTAGGATATTATCATCTATTTGGGGGCCAGTTCCTGACTGATTATGCAAGCAAGGTCATGGGTTTAGGCTGAGAGTTAATGCCACCCCAAGAAGGAGGCTATTCTATAGTCCGTGCCAGGCTCTATATCACAAGACTGTCTGAGTAGAACATGGAAAGGGTGCAGGCACTCATCAGCCCTTCTGGAAACATCACGTCCAGGAAGAAAAGTCCAGAAGTGCTTTCCCATAAAAACTGGCCAACTCTTTGGAGGCTCCTGTGTTCCTTGGAAAACTAAAGTAGTCAAGGATTAGAATGACCCTGTCACTTTGTTTAAATGAAACGTTTAAAAAATTTTTCAACACAATGCTTTCTTAGTTTAGGCAGCACAGAAAATTGTTGGTCCATCCGTGTCCTAACAATCACTCCAGAAAGTCGCACAGCTCTTGCAGGCATCAAGGACACTCATGTTCTCCTTCAGACCCACCCTTGGGCTCCCTTTTGCCTGACTCTGGAACAAGCCAGGACTGGGAGGAACGCAGAGTCACACAAAGTCTTAAGGGTTCTTTCCAAGAGGTTTAGTGGCTGTGATTGTTCCTTTAAATGGATCATTAGACTTAGAGCACATCTCTAAAGAAAAAAAAATCTTAGACCTCAGGGAAACAGTTCCCAGATTAGTGAAAAGAAAGCAATCCCTCAGGTCCCATCTGTGGTTTCACTTTGGGGGAGGTTAAATGAATTGTGTTCTGTTCTTTAATGGAAGTGCTTCTTCCATTAAAGCCAGAGGGTGAGGCCACAGCCCTGTGTGAAGGTTGTGAAGACTCCTAATGGCAATTAATGGGAGTGAGACAGATTTTCCATGAGAAGCCAGTCTGTAGGGGCAAGCCTTAGGCAGGGAAGAAACTCCTGTCCCTCCCTGGGACCCTCTTCCCATACCTGGATGTGCTTCCTTCCCCGTGTTTGGGAGGGACACCCTCTGCCAAAGGAGGAGACCAGTGTGGAGCTGAACGGTACACGGGCCTCTCACTGTTGTGGCCTCTCCCGTTGCGGAGCACAGGCTCCGGATGCGCAGGCTCAGCGGCCGTGGCTCACGGGCCCAGCTTCTCTGCGGCATGTGGGATCTTCCCGGACTGGGGCACGAACCCGTGTCCCCTGCATCGGCAGGCGGACTCTCAACCACTGCGCCACCAGGGAAGCCCTGAGCAGTTTTTTAATATACAGATTCCAGGATCTGCTCAAGGGCAACTGAATTGGAATTCTGAGGAATGCTCCCAGATTGTTTTGTTTTCTTTTGTTTTAATTCATCTGTTTTATATTTCCCAGATGGTTCTTATGCAACCAGCCCACACTGATCCACAGAATAGTTTTCAGAACCACTAGTTTTCCATTTTTTCCCCCCCCTGTTGCTACGTTTATTCCCTTCTGGGAATAACTTGTTATCCCTTCTGGTCTTAGGGACCTGACCAGAGTTGTGTATCCACCCCTTCCCTTTGCAATACAGCAGTAAAGGTGGACAACGCCCCCTCAAGAGAGAATGGGTGATGGCAGCAGTGATTAACTAGTTATGTCAACCCAAAAGGAAAGTGAATTTCAGGGACCAAGACTTAGCGACAGTGAGGCTGAATCCTGCATCAACCACAGTAGTTCTGCATTTATCTGTTATATATACTGCACTTCCTTGTACATTCGTCTGAAGGAAAGACTCCATTGCAGGGGGCAAAACGTTTGAAAAATATTGCCTTTTATAGAACCATAACACAACCAAAACACATTTCTTTTTCAGTTACATTTTAGGCAAACAGAATTTTTTTCTATTTTGGGCTACCCTGAAAATTTTAAGTATCCTCTATAACATGAATCCTGTGGAAAAATATGAATCTGAATTCAAGATGGCAAAAACACATCTCCCTCACCACCAGCAACTTCCCACTGACCGAG